GCTAATGGCAGACACACACTCCGCCTGTTCTGGGGGGACTGTTGCCGTTGCTAGGAAACCGGCAGCCGCGTGAATGGAAATGGGTCAGTAAACCTGGGGAGAGATAGTGTGACACTCGAACCACTGCAGCTGCTCCAGCCCACACCGAAATCCCTCCTCTTCAATATTTATCACTCCCGCCTGGGCCCTCTGCTCCTGCCAGACCTGGAGCCACCCTGGACCTCAGCGCCCCCACAACCCCACAAGCCCCAACAGGGGTGTGGGGGGATGAAAGGAGATGGAAGGGTTTGCTTATCCACTCCCAGGGGTGGGCACCGGGCAGTACGGAACTGGTTCTGGAGGAGATTGAACAGGAAACAAAGTCTAATCCCACGGAGGGGAAGGGGTTAAAAGGTCAATTCACGCCTGTTCCAGACTTAGGCACCGTGGTAAAATTACTGAGTAAGCGGGCTACAGCTGCCTGCAAGGGGACTGAATTCAAGACAGAGGAGCTTCCCTCCAAGTGTCCTGGGGACCTCCCTCTAAAAGAGATGGAAGAGGTACCCAAAATGTGGCCAGGAGTCCCTCACAGCCTGACAACACTCTCCCAGTATACAGTCCAAGGCTTCCTAACACCCCAAACAGATCATCCCATGACAATTTGCTAGCACCTACATGGCCAGGTGCTGCCTTTAGCCTTACAACACCCACCTGTACAGCAATAGTCTCCCCAAGCAACCAGCCACTGTCAGAAAACCTCAACAACAAACACCTCTACGTGGATACCCCCCTCCAATAGAAGGGGACAATTGGCAATTCAGAAGAGCATTGTTCAGCTTAACACCCATACGGTCGCCGACAAATCTAAGCACTGGCAAAACTGCACTGTGTCAGGCTGCGCCGAATCTTCAATTGCTTCTTCCTAAGAATGGCACTTCCCCAACTTGTCTGCTCTGACTCAAAGCCTGGCTCTTTGGTTCCCTCCAATTGCACATACTCCAATAGACTGCCCTGTGGCCGCCCTTCAGGACACTAAGCCAGAAGCTAAGTGCCTCTCACATGGCATCCCCCGCTCCCTGGAGGCTGATTGGTCACCGTGACAGATTCCCTCCCCCTAGAGGTTGTGGACAGTTTTAGCCCCACCTAACAGCTCCGCTTTTCTCTACAGACTACAGGAACCCTGGGAACCAGCAGTTCCACCTGTGTGGGTGATATGCCCTCTCCACCCACCAGTCATCCCAGAAGGTGTGTCTTCGGAAGGGAGGTACTCTAATCTACTGGGGGCGGGGAGGGAGGGTACCTCCCCAGGAATCCCCTAGCTAACTCTCTTCTCTGTATGCTTCTATCTCCTAGGATACATCAGTCAACAAGCTGGGAGCTTGTCAGTGCTAGAAGGTGCTTTAGGGAGTCACTTAATCCAGCCTCCTCTGCTATGCAAGAGGAAATGGAGGCCCAGAGAGGGGAAGCACCTGCCCAAGGTCACACAGCCCTACTGCTGGTTTCAGTGACCTTCACCATGTGCACTCTACCTGTGGGGGAGAAACTCCAGGGGTGGGAGTAGTCAGCCCAGGATGGCTTCTCTGAGGTAGAGTTAGGAGGCCAAGACTGCAGTCCTTGAGAAAAGCTTATGACAACTACACAGCTCATGGGAATCCAGGGTCTGGGCCATATACATTTGGTCTAATCTGGACTTTGCCAAATGCACTGGTGGACACTCATCTCTGTCCCCACCCACCCCCACCAAATCCCTGCCCTCATTCCTGGGAGCCCCAGAGTCACAGCCGGCTGCCTTCCCCAAACCAAGCTTGGTGCAGAATACAAGTCCCCACTTTGTCCCAGAGCATCCTGACTTTTCTTTATTTAAACAGGTCTCCACCAGGAAGAGTCATGGTAGCATACTGGGTTAAGCACTGGGCTACTAACCACAAGGTCTGCAGTTCAAACCTAAGAGCCATTCTGTGGGAGAAAGATGAGGCTGTCTGTTCCCAAAAAGACTTACAGTCTCAGACACCCTATGGAGCAGTTCTATTATGTTCTTCAGCGTCACTCATAGTTGGAATCGCGTCAGCAGTGGTGGGTTTTGTTTTTCCTACTCTGCCAGGAAGCCTCAGGAATACAGGGGTAGGAAAGAAGTTCTGCTAGGTAGTTCTTATTTCAACTCCATTTTGCAGACAAGCAAACTGAGGCTTAACAGAGGCTGGGTCATTTGCCCAAGCTTATGCAGACAACAAATGGGACCCTGAGTTCCTTCCACACTAGTGTTTTTCCCAGTGGGCACAGAGGACCATTCCAAGAGGAGAGAGAAGTGGGAGCCCAAGTCGGGGTGAGAACACATCTTGGGCTGAGGTGGGTGTGTGCCTACACGTATCTAAATTCGAGCCTGGGCTCAAACTCCACCTCTTTTGGCAGTGATGAACTGAGTGAAGGGTCAAGGCAGGGGAGTGGGGGAAGGTAGGAATGTTGGCAAGCAGAACTCCACCAGTGTCTCATCCTTCCTGGGTCATACTCCTGGGAGCCAGGCCAGGAGATATCCCACCTTCCCCTAGCCCAGTGTTTTCTGCCAGCCCCCACCCCTTAGTTCTCCTTCCACCTTTCCAGTGGAACAGTGGAAGGAACACTGGGGTGGGGGGCCTGGGCCTCTCTGTGGGCTTCAGTTTCTCATGCGGACTAAGAAGGGCTGGCCTGGCAGGATGGACCACTCTTGGTCCTCAGTGCCCATTACAAATTTAGAGTGCCACAAGGATCATGTTTAATGAACACGTGAACACTCAAACCAGGGTCTTTCCTTCCGTCTGTCCTCCCCAACCCAACCGATGGGCACTACTTACCTTGGGAAGCCAAAGGTCAGAGTTGCTGGCATCAAATACTATGCGGGCTGCTTCCACCCCTCTGGATGGGTCTGTTTGTCAGGTACCTTTTATTTTCGGCCCCAGCAATGGACCGGACATTATGCTAATTTATTTAAATATCGTGCAACTTTTGTGATTCAACAAGGCCATGGGTAGCCTACCTACCATCACCTGGCTTTTCAGATGTGACAAGGGAAACACGGGAATGAATGGACTTACTCGAGGTCACACGGCCAATGAGAGGCTGGGAAGGGATTCGAAGTAGTGGTTAAGCATTGGGTCTGTTCCCTTGCTTGTTCAAACTGATGTGAGGGCGGTACTGGGTTGGGTGGTTGCAGGAAATGGAGCTGAACAGGAGCCACTGGCAGGGGGAGAGGGGGTCCACCTCAGGCGGGGGAGGTGCCTGCAGAGTTGCCAAACGGCTCTTCAGTTTGCAGAGCGCCAAATGGAGCTAGGATGTAGGCGAAGTGGTGGGAAGCCTCTCTCCCTCCCCTCCTCCCCCACAAAGGGCTGGACAGTCCTCCCACCACCCCCAACCCCGCGCACCAAGTTCCAAAAGAGGGAGCTCTCGCCGGGCACTTACCTACCCGACAGCCTATTTCAGGGCTTGGGTGAGAGGAAGCCCCTCCCAGACAAGGGCCCTTGTTTGGCTGGCCCGCCCAGAAAGGTGCGGACCAGCCCCCAAAGCTGCAGCCTCCGCCGTCGCGGAAGTGATCCAGGATTTTTCCAGTACGTCCGCCCCCCGACTCTGCAGTTGAGGGTGTTGCTTCACCTCCCTCCTGAAAGCCCTCAGACACCCCCTGCTTGTGCAGAGGGCCAGATTCCCCATTTGGGGGCTGTAACCCCTCCCAGCCAGGCATCCGGAGGCTCTGGTCCGCGGACCCAGCAGTTCCAGGGCCCGAATAAGCCGCCTCCTAAGTTTCCCCTTGGGCTACCTGGCAAGCCTGCGTTGCCCCCAGAGCCTGCCACCCCCGCCCCCTCCCCGAGGAGGCCGCGGAGCATCTGACTCTCGGAGGAGGTGACGGGCGGAGAGGGAAACCAGGCGGCTGGGGGAGGGGAGTTGCCTGCACCTGGCCCCTCTCCCTGGCCCAGGCAGGGAGGGGCGGGACTGGGCCCCCGCCAGACATGGATAGAGCGGCGGGGGGAGGGGAAGTGTGCCTCTCTCCTCGCACCCAGTCTGGAGGCGGGTAGGGAGGGCGGGTAGGGAGGGCCCCCCCATAACCCTATTTGCGAAGGCGCACCCTAGGCTCGGGCTAGGGGGTACCCCTTCCCGAAGGGCGCTCGGCCCGCTCCCCCGGCCGGCTGCGTTCTCCAGCTGCAGGAAATTCCACAAGCTCTCCATCATCCCGGCTCAGCGCGGAGTCCGGGCTGCCAAGGCTCCCCGAAGGAGAGCCACATGCCGGCCGGCCACAAGGCCCGCCCTTGCGCCGGCCGCCCCCGCCCCCCCAATCCAACCCCGGTCTCGGACAACAGCCACGTTGGGCCGGGCGCCCCTTCCCGCGCCCCGGGCGCCCCAGGCCCAACGGAATGCGTGGCAGCCCAGGCCGGGGGCTATTTTGAGCGGGTGGGGAGCGGCCCAGTCTCGGCGTTTTCGGCTTTTTCCTGGCCCCCGGCCCACCAGCCCAGGCCTCGGCGGCCCGCACAGCGAGGATCACGTGGCGGTGGGAAGGGAGGGCCGCTGAGATCTCGGTGTGGCTCGGCCCGGACCCTGGTCCGCGAGGCGCCCAGCGGCAGCCTGGCTCTGCGCGCTCCGCCCCAGCCGGGAGGCGGGATATTAACTGTGCGCTTGGCCACGGCGGGCGGTGGCTCCAGGGCGCCCACTACCTGCACACCCCTCTTCGGAAGAGCGCCGGCGGTCAGGGCACTCCCTCCCTAGAGGCGGACTCCGGCATCACTGGCTAGAGCAACTGTACCCCGGGAGCCAATCACCGACCTCGATTCTTCACCTGCAGTTGGTGATGCGCTCCCTGGCATGAGGTGGGGCGCCATCGAAAGCCCCCTCCTACTTTCGGCCTGATTTTTCGTTTTATATAATTAAGGGGACCTTAGCAGCCCTGGTGGTGCAACGGTGTAAACATTCGGCAGCTAATCGAAAGGTCAGTGGTTCGAAACCACTAGCTTCTAAGGGGGAGAAAGAAAGATGAGGCTGTTTGTTCCTAGGGAGCCGTTCTACTCTGTCCCATAGTCAGAGTCCAAATGGACTTAGTGGCAATGCGTTAGTAGAGAGCGCCCTGTCCAGGGGGGAAGACTCTGTCCCAGGTTGTCCCAGGCAGTTCCCCCTCATGCCATCTTTTGGAAGGATGCCTTGTTCATTTACAACCTGTTTACACCTCCTCGGGACTGACTACTCAATGGTAACTAACAATCAGCCCTGAGCAATCACTTGCTTCATTATAAGGTCGCTGTTGTTGGGGAGAGGTAGCCCTTCCTGCTGACGAGGAAACTGAGGTGCTGGAAGGTTACCTGACTTGCCAAAGGTCATGCAGTGGCAGTGCCCAGAATCAGAGACACTCTGGTTCTGGCATCTGAGTTAACCACTAACCTAGATTGCCCTGAGACAAACAGAACGAACATTGCCCCCTTTATACAGAGAAGAAAACGGAGGTTCAAGGTGTGAGTTGTCCAAAGTTGCCTGGCCAATTAGTGGCAGAGGTGAACATGCCATGGACCTCATTGCAATGCCCTACTGTAGCACCTTGAATCTGGGCAGCTCCTGTCTTGGGGGGCAAGGAGGTCCGCGGGACAGGCACCTAGAAACTGTCGCATTCCCCCCCCCCCACCAAGCTGTATCTAAAGCCCTTGCAGACTACCCTTCTCCTTGCACATGTGATGTCAATGCTGAACTCCTGGGTTCTGGATTCTAGACCCAGCTCAGCTCCAGTGATGGGGAGGAGGGGGGAATGTTCTGGGGCTCAGAAGAGATGGCATGAGGGGGAACTGCCTGGGACAGAGCCTGGAGCTGCTTCCTGTCTCCCTCAGCAAGGAAGCACAAAGGGCTGGCAGCCCCCGCCACCCCCACTCCGCCCCGGAAACCTGGAAGTTTATTTCTGTCTCTGGGCCCCCTGTTTCCACTGAGTCCGGCCAGGAAGGCTGGCAGCAGCTGGCTTGGCGGGGTGGAGCTCCTGCTCCCTCAAGAGTCCAGTTGCCACTCTGCTTGACCCTCCACCCCCACCCCACTTGCCAGGCCAGACTCCATAGTTAAAGGTGACATTGAGAGACGAGGGAGAGAAGCTGGGGGCCAGTGCTCCAAGGTGATGCAGGAACACCCTGGGAGGGCCCGAGACTCCACTGGGAGGTCAGTCAGGACCCCAGGGAAAGAACCCTGCCCTCTCCCCAACCCCAACCCCTGTTGCTCTCGCAGGTCAAGCCAGCTTAACTCAGCTCAAGTTGCTCGGGCTGTAACGGCTGGCTCATCTGGTCTCGTTCACTCTTAACTCATGACTCCTCTGGACCCAAGGCCCAAATCAAAGTCTGCTTCTAAACCTCTCCTTTTAGGTTACAGGTAGCCATGAGCAGCACGGGGCTGCTGAGCACTGGGAATGCAGCTACTTAGAATTGGGATGTGCTGAAAATATGCACCACCAGATTCTGAAGTCTTCGTACGAAAGAAAAACAAGCAAACTAAGGGCAAAATATCTCATTAATTTTTTTACAGTGATTACATGTTGAAATTATATTTTGGACATATTGGATAAGATAAAATATATTATTAAAATTAATTCTATTTGTTTTCTTTGATTTTGTTTAAATTATATCTAGAGCTCCCATTACATTTCTATTAGTCAGTGTTGTTCTGGAGCATCTAGGGTTTAGGCTTTGCCTGCTCCAGATCAATGTGGGTGCCTTCAGCCCACCTAATCCTACTCTTCCTCCCCACCCCATCCCCCTACCCCTGGACCAGCCAGATCACAGGTGGGTCTAGATTTCATTTCCTGCCCCAGCTTCTGTGAATCAAGGCTCTGCCAGCAACGTAACGTAGCCTTCTCTAAAC